TAATGAGTTTTTTGGGTTCATTGAGAACATGGTTGTTGTTCAATAATAACATTATTCCTCAAAAATACAACTTGCCTAATAATTCTGCACTCCCTGTAGACGCAAAAAAGACACAAACACAAAGCGAAGGACCAACCGAAGCATCAGAATCAATGAGCTGTCGGCTTTCAGCCCCAACGGCGTGTTGGGTGAGAAAGCCAAGAAAGAGAAAGCTGATTCTGATGCTTCGGGTCCGGTCTATGTTTACCTCTTTGTGTGGAATCTGTTTACCTGCTCTCATTTGCTGTTCGGTGTTTGCTGAGATTTTGGCATTTCTGGCAAAATACATTTATATATTTAAAAGTCGATTCAGGATTTCATGAATCGATATCACTTTATTCAAGCTACTCACCTCCCTCTTCCACCTGCACTTTCAAACGTACACACAAAGGACTATGGGACCAGTACAGGAGCACGGCCAATCATAGAGGTGCCGCCCCTGACTATATCTGATTGGGACACACGATAGGGGCATGATTTGTGTCACTTGTTGACCACACAGAGACTTTCAGAGTTTTTTTTTCTTCTCTTTCCTTTCATCACAGGCAGCACTGCCATCAAGCTCACTGCCTGTCAATTTGTGCATTTGCATTATTTCCATCGTGTGGCTGCAGTTGGCTATTGTTGCTGAAAGTTGTGCTTATTTTAGTCTCATCGAAAAGTGTAGTTGTCTCTGTCAGAGAGTGCCTGTGTCCTGTTAACAATAAGTGGAGCTGGGAAAGCTGAGAGGCTAACAGCTTTTTATCTGGTGCTTTGTATATGCACATTGCGGATAAGCCGATGGTCTGTGACTAAACTGTAAATGGATGGGAGAATTAATGTTTCAATGAGATTCAATCATTTACTTCAGTCAATATCATGAGCATGAAAAAGAAGGTTTTTTTTTAAATAGCCCAATTTTCTGTTGCCTACATTGTAGAGCGTGGCTTTGCTTCCAGACCTCAACAGGAACATTAGCACACTCGGGGATTAAAATGTGATTCAGCCAATGGAGGAACCATACAATCTTAGTGGCTCTAGGGAAAACTGACAATAGTTTCTATTGAGAGCTCCAGCAGATTTTCTTAGTGTACAGGCTGTGATCAGCAGACCTGCTGCTGCAGCTACTCTGAAGTTTACTGCTCTTTGTGAACTTACACAACTGAATTCAATAAACTCATCATGTTACCGTGAGCCAAACTGTTTATTTAATTCATTTAGTATGATTTATTTAGCACCAAATTACAAAACAGTAATTACCATGAGGTGCTTTATATTGTAAGGCAGAGACCTTAAAACAATTCACTGCACTAGACTACGAAGTGTTAATATACATCAGGTTTTTTTTGCAGGATGTTTCACAAAATGAAAAATCATAAATTCACATCATGTGCAGATTTAATATCTGATTTAAAAAATGAGAAACTACATGCTTTTAATTAGCAATTTATCAAATGCCTCTGAACACTGCTCTTCTTCTTCTCCTGTCCTGTCTTTCTTACATCTTTCTCCATCTCTGATTGAAGTCAGCTCTCACTCTTTTCTGTCTCTGAACAGAAGCTGGATTTTTAGCTACTGTGGCAAATACGGTGTGAAACAAGCTGCACATAAACATTGTGTTTACTGATATTTGTTGAGCTGATACAAATGTAGCATTTGAAATTATGTGCCCCTTATGGCCTGCATGGTAAATGGCCTGCATTTGTATAGCGCTTTTGTAGTCCCTAAGGACCCCAAAGCGCTTCACACTACATTCAGTCATTCACCCATTCACACACTTATCCCTTATAAAGTATTACTCACCTTATGCTCGCTCGTCTTCTGTAGGGATAGCTAGATACTTAAGTATCGCGGCCAGAACTTCTGAACATCTGCATTCCCACCAATATTGTGGCACTCCAGACTATGGTGCCTGAATCCCCTAAGTGAGATCATTAACAAGACTGGCTACGGATACCGACTACGGAATGGAGCAGTTGTCAGCCACCTCCTCTACATGGATGACATCAAGCTGTATGCCAAGAATGAACGAGGATATCCTTCATAAAGATAGCTATAACTTTTGATAGAAGATCAGATACACGTATATATGGCTTTATCTTATAGAATTCAATATCCCCTGTTGATACAGACAGACATAATGGTGGTGGCTAAGCAACTGGACATAATGATGGTAGACAAACAGAAGAAGACGGCCGTAGTGATAGATGTAGCGGTTCCCAATGACACCAACATCAGAAAGCAGGAACACGAGAAGCTTGAGAAATACCAAGGGCTCAGAGAAGAGCTCGAGAAAATGTGGAGGGTGAAGGAAACAGAGCCTTCATTAGGAACTCAGCAACATTAGAGGCCAACTAAGGATCTAACAAGGAGATGCTCTGTCCACACTGCTGTTCTGCATAGGCCTGAACCCTCTCAGTGAGATCATTGACAAGACTGGCTACCGACACTGACTACGGAAGGGAGCAGTTGTCAGCCACCTCCTTAACATGGTTGAAGCTCGATGCTGAGAGTGAACAAGACATTGATTCACTGTTCCACACCACCAGGATATACAGCAAAGTTATTTGGAGTGGAGAAGTGCAGTCGGATGGTAACAAAGAGAGGGAAGGTAGTTAGTGCGATCCTCTCAGTTCTATCTGAAGGCAACATTGCAAACCACCGCAGAACCACTATCCAGGATGAAACAATGAACATCAATGAGTACATCAGGAAGATCGTCACAACCAACTGTGTGCTTAGTGAACACCTCAGGCAGGAGAAATCCCAGAAAGAAGAGGAGCAAGAGGAAGAACCATGCAAGGACAGGTCCCTGCACAGTATGTACCACCAACAGATAGAGTAAGTGGCTGGCATCCAGAAATCCTACCAGTGGATAAAGTTGGACTAAAAGACAGCACAGAGGCAGCACAGGAGCAAGCTCTAAGATCCAGAGAGGCTGTGGTCTACCACACCAGGCAAAGCAGACAGGCTGTGTAAAGATGCCCCTGAGACAATCCTTCACATTGCACCAGCGTGCGAGATGCTAGCGCACAGGACATACATGGAACGTCATAACTAAGTGGCCAAAATTGTATATAAATCTAAATATATATTTCATGGCAGCTTTGGGTGTCTGTACACCTACATCATGTGAACTGCTGCTATACCTCCTGAGCCACAGCACCATAAATTAACATGGTTTCACTAGTTTTCTGTCTCACAAACTAATGTCAGTTTTTTCTTTTTCCACAGATGCAGATCTACATGTATAACTCAGATGACTTTGAAAGTCTCACTGCAGCACTCAGAGAGAAGAGAATCATTGCAGCCATGGCTGTTTTTTTCCAGGTAGGAAAAGGTTATGTTACTTACTCGAAAGATGAGGTAGATTTCAGTTGTGCATGTTCTTTCTTCTGGGTTGGGAATTTATCATTAATGTTTTACAGGAGAACTCACTGCAAAAAGAAAATTCTGTCAGTACAAGCTTTGTACTGACATATCAGAGGTTGTTGATACAATAACACACTGCAGACATCTAGCAGACTGTCTAACATTATGTTACAAGGGACATCTAAGCCTTGTGAACTCATATTGCAACTCAAGCAACAAGATGCAGTGACCCAAAGTGTCACGGTTCTGGGTCCGTTGGACCCAGTATTTTGAGTTTATTATATTTCGGTTTAATTCTGCTTCATGGATTGCTTTCTTATTCTCATAGTGACGATGATTATTATTTCTTGTTTCTGTTTATCCGTGCTTAAGGATTTGTTCTCAGTTATATCTCACGTTTAGTTCAGGTTCCATGTGTCATTCTCTGTCTGTCTCTCAATGTAAAGTCTGCATGCTTGTTTAGTAATTCATGTTTCCTGTTTAATTGTGAAAGTCTTTGTCTTATGTTAGTGTGTGCAGCTTGGTTCCCCCCGTCTCGTTAACCCTGATCTCTCCCAGCTGTGTCTCCCTCCTGTTGCCCATTCGCTGATTACCACCCTGTGTATATTAGCCCTGTGTTTTCCTGTGCTCAGTGTCGCGTCGTACCATCAGATTATGCCTGTGTGTTTCGGTTCTCCATATTCCATGGTCACTTCATGTTTTGTTTTCGTACCAGCAATAAAGCTGAGGTTTTTGAGTGTCAAGTTAGTGTCTGAGTCCTGCGTTTGGATCCTCCTCTCCACCTGCCCTGACACAAAGTCTCCATTTCAACTTGTGTTGAAAGTGTGGACTTCAAACAATATACCAGCCATGTAAAACCACAGTTATGATTAAAAATACACGCAATGTTTCTGAAAACATAAATGTTCCAGCCATATGTTCTGCACACTCGGGTAAAGAGAGGGGCTGAGCTGGGGGAGGCCACTGGACAGACCTGGTGCTCCTAAACGTACAGTGAGGGTGTGCTGGGAATGTCTAGCAGAGGCCCCAGTCCGCCCCAGATCTTCAACACACACCTTAGGCAGAACTTCAACAGCATTCCAAGGGAGACAGGGGACATCTGAATGAGTCTGAATGGACCATGTTCAGCACCTCCATTGCCGAAGTTGATGCACTGAGCTGCGGCCGCAAGGTGGTTGTTGCCTGTCATGGTAGTAAACCCCCGAACCAAATGGTGGACACCAGAGGTGAAGGGAGCCACCACGCTGAAGAAGAGATTCTGGCAAACCTTCAGGCGACTCAGGAGGGGAAAGTGGTGCTCTACCTGTACTGTGTATAGTGCGGGTGGAGCACTGCTGACTTCAACTGAGAAAATTGTCGGGCGGTGGAAGGAATACTTCGAGGACCTGCTTAATCCCACTGACACGTCTTCCATAGAATGGTAAATGGTAAATGGCCTGTATTTATATAGCGCCTTACTAGTCCCTAAGGACCCCAAAGCGCTTTACATATCCAGTCATCCACCCATTCACACACACATTCACACACTGGAATGTAGAAGAAGCAGAGTTGGATGACCCGCCAATTTCCAGGTGTGAGGTCACTGAGGCAGTTAATCAACTCCTTAGTGGCAGAGCCCCTGTGGTGGATGAGGTCCGCCCTGGATTCCTGAGGGCTCTGGATGTTGTAGGGCTGTCCTGGCTGACACGTCTCTACAATGTTGCATGGACATCAGGGGCGGTACCCCTGGACTGGCAGACCGGGGTGGTGGTCCCCATCTTTAAGAAGATGGACCGGAGGGTGTGTTCCAGGGGTATCACAGCCTCCCTGGGAAGGTCTATGCCAGAGTGCTGGAAAGGAGAGTCCGTCCATTAGTGGAATCTCAGATACAGGAGAAACAATGCAGTTTTCGCCCTTGTCACGGAACACTGGACCAGCTCTTTATCCTCTTCAAGATACATGAGGGTGGATTGGAGTTTGCCCAACCAGTCTACATGCGTTTTGTGGACTTGAAGAAGGCATTCGACCGTGTCCCTCGGAGTGTCCTGTGGGAGGTGCTGCGGGAGTATGGGGTGTCTGGCCCATTGCTACGCCATTTGATCCCTATACAACCATTGCAAGAGCTTGGTTCGCATAGCCGGCAATAAATCAAACTCGTTCTTGGTGGGTTATGGGCTCTGCCAGGGTTGCCCTTTTGTCACTGATTCTGTTCATAATTTTTATGAACAGAATCTCTAGGCGAATTTCTAGGCAAAGCCAAGTGATGGAAGGCTTTCACTTGGGTGGTCTCAGAATGTCATCTCTACTTTTCGAAGATGATGGTTCTGTTGGCTTCATCGGTTGATGGCCTCCAGGTCGCACTGGAATTAAGCGGCGGGAATGAGGATCAGCATCTCCAAATCTGAGGCCATGGTTCTCAGTCAGAAAAGGGTGGAGTATCCACTTCGAGTCAGGGACGAGTTCTTGACATTCTTCACGCACACCCTTGCATTATACATGCTTATCTTAGGCAGTAGTATCAGAAGGTACATAATACATTTTCACTGCTGCGCAGTGGATACCCAACTTTATCTATCCATCAAGCAAGACCTTTACACCTGCTGTTTATTTTATTGACACACATGAATTAGATAAACTGCATTTCAGATAAAACTGAGGTTACGTACGCGACCCTAAAAATCCTTTAAATATGGTGTGTTTTTTGGCCTTTTTACAGCTTTATTTCAAAGGGTACATTAAAGAGTGATAGGAAAGCAGGGGGAGAGAGAGAGGGGAAGACATCTCAGCCATGCGGCATATGGTCGCCTGCTCATCCCAGTGTGCTAAACCGTGTCCTTAAATATGGTGTTTAACTAGATGTGTACTCTAGATGGCATTACCTTGGCCTCAAGTAACATTGAAGGATATTCTGGTCAAAAAATGACTTGAAGATTCTTCAAGATTCTTCAAGTCATTGAAGAAAATAAAAATATATGTTTAATATGCAAACTGGTTTCTTGCATTTGAGCAATAGCTCCAAAATTAGAGACAACTTGTCTTGCGAAACTATTTCATGTGTTAATTACTTCTAGCCTGGACAACTGTAATTCATTTTCAGCAAAAGCAATTGATACAAAATTGTAACCCTACTTACAGTTTTTAAGCAAGAATGACCAAACTCTCACTAGGCCAGTATCAGATAATCTAAGAGGTATAAACATCAATAATGAAGGACCACACCAGGATAAACAGTGGATAAAATTATATATTTGACACACCGCAGCTGCAAATAAATGTACTTAATACAATAAAATAAAATACAAAATATCTCCCCAAAAATAAATTAAAGTGGGGCCAGACCCAAGACACGCTGGAGAGATTATATCTCTCAGCTGGCCTGGGAACGCCTTGGTGTTCCCCCGGATAAGCTGGAGGAGGTGGCTGGGGAGAGGGAGGTCAGGGGCTTCTCTGCTTGGGCTGCTGCCCCCGCGCCCCTGCCCCCAGATAAGCGGAGGAAAATGGATGGATGGATGGCATACAGCTTTTCTCTGAGTCAAATGTTTGAATGAATGTCTGATAACTGATGGATCATCAGGGCCCAATTCCTGCCCTTCCTCCAATCGATCTGCGGGTTATGGTGTTTGAGCCAGGAGTAACCTAAAACTAGCGGAGTGTGAGGAGCCTTGAACAGGAACAGGCTGATTTGTTCAATGTGGTTGCTGGAGAGAGAGAGAGTTAGATCTGTAGTGCGATGGGTGATGCTAGCTAAGGGGGCACCATTAAGAGCCGCCACCTGGAGGACCTCTGGTAAGGGTTCAACAGTTATACCCAACTTCTGGGCCAGGGCTTCATCAATTAACTTAAAAATTAACTTGGTGGGGAAAGATGTTTGCGGTGACACCCGTCAATATCCCCACGGCTACTGATGGGCAGCCTCTTTTCCCAACTCTGGGCATTTATCAGCAGAGGAGAAGCAGCAGCTGTGCTAAGAGACGGTCCGGGTGGCAGAACATTAGCTGCGGCCCCAGGTGGAGTTAGCAAAATTTCTTTTAATTCAGCGACCAGCTGCCGCAACTCAGTTTGTTCATCAACAACGTGTTTCATCATTTTTTCATGGCGTCCAACATCTCACCTTGAATCGAGAGTTCCCGCAGAACCGGGACAGTGTCCGCTGGATCCATGTTGATGGCTGGAGTATTCTGTTAAGGATGGTGAGTTAGCGAACCCAGACGCGGACCTCTCGTTTAAGTTGAACAGTGTCTTTATTTACAGTGAAGCCAAAACCAATCCACAGTTATCCACAGTGCAAGTCCCTTCAGTGCTCCTCTCCTCTTCTCCCCTCGTGTGTCCACAAATCTCCTGGAATTCAGTGAAGTCTCCCCTTCCGTCTCTCCGTCTCGTTCGCTTCATGGGAAAAAGGCAAAACAGACACGATTAGCCGCCCCCGGCACGCGAACACTCTCTTTAACACTCTCTGAGCTTGAGTCACTACCAGGCTTGGTGCAATACTCCAGCGCTGTCTGTCACTCAGCCACACCATTAAATAGTCCTGCCACGGTGGTGGATAATTGGCAGCAGCTGGCGAGGAATCGGTCGCAGGTGAGGCAGCTGAGAGTGGCAGCACTTCCGGGTCAGAGGTCTCTCGTTGCTACGCGACCGCGTAACACTCGCAGAGGCGCGAGAGAGAGAAGAGGACAAACACACACACACAGGTCGACCAGTCGGGGCATCGTCCGACTCTGACAAGCCTCTGAGTAACACACTACATGTGTGGTCATTTGTTGTGAACCGTAATGACTGGAGTGCAATCAAAAAGCAGAGAAGCCCAGACCTTCCTCTCCCCAGCCACCTCCTCCAGCTTGTCCGGGGAACACCAAGGCATTCCCAGGCCAGCTGAGAGATATAATCTCTCCTTTGTGTCCTGGGTCTGCCTGGGGGCCTCCTCCCGGTAGGACATACCAGGAACACCTCACCCAGGAGGCACCCAGGAGGCATCTTTG